AACCCGCGCACTAATGCAAAACCACCAGATCCTGGTGACACTGGATAACTAACCCACTGAATTCTTACCATAAACCTTCCACATAATGCCCACGAACCGATCTTGACTACTAACCAAGATAACACCGAACACTCCAAACCCGCTGTAAGGGAAACAACCCTTCACTAAACCACTAATAATTCATGGCATTCAAATGTCATATAAAAATTCTTGAAATTGAACCCCAACGATAACAGGGCAGAAACCGAAGATATCGCTTACCCAAATCAATATCAAATCCAAAGAAACATGAAAACTGATAATAACCAAAAAGAACGGAAAAGATAATATGCCTGCAAAATCACCTGACGGAGCATGGACCTCCCCTGTCTGACACTGCAATGAGCGGCTCTTCTCTGTTGTGGCTCCTACCCTATCCTCACGACTATCAGGGATCCGCAAAATAGTCGGAGCAGGAGCACTCACTGCTCCTCCCCTTCTTCTCAGACAGACGACCCTCTAGTGGCCCACTTGAACGCAGAGAAAACATAACGTGCTTGCCCCCTGAGGACAATTCCTGCTAACATGACCAACCCTGCCACACTTGTAGCAGCTTAAACCCCTGGAACGACAAACTCCATCGTGCGGTTTCCCGCACATGCTGCACAGACCCCGACCCTACTGGCCTCTCAAACGCTGATCTGGAGTCTTGTGTCTCTTCCCGGGACCCTCCACTACATGCACCTGATCTGATCCCCCTCTTCCCGAGGTGCCCAAAATCGATTTCCCTCTCTCGGGCTCTAAAATCATATCATTCAGGGTCTCGCACCCTGAAATACTCACAAACTCCCTGATGTCATCCCGCAGCATAGCATGATACATCACCTTCTTCATTTCCTCATCTGTTGCATACTACGGTACCAATAAATCCCTCTCCCGAAACTTAGCAGTGGTCTCTGCCATAGTCTCGGTAGTCTGGCGGAGATCCAGAAACTCTCGTGCCAACTGTTGCACCTCAATCGTCGGAGCAAACTCAGCTTGGAACCTGGTCGAGAAGTCATCCCATGACATGACATCAACAACATCATCACCCAACTCACTACCAACCTCTTCCCACCAATCTTGTGTCCTGTCCTTCAACAGGCAGGAAGAATATCTGACCTTCGCCTCCTCGAGGCAGAAATTCGTCCTGAACATGTTAGCCATATCCGCTAACCATCTCCTACTGACAATGAGGTCCCTCTCCCCATGGAACGCAGGAGCTCCAAAAGCACGAAATTCACGGAAAGAAAGAGTGCGACCTCCAACGATAGCCATAACCTCAGCACGGGACGCTCCCAAATGCTCAGCCAAGATCTCCAAAAACCCCTCCATGACCGAACCAAAAAATCACATGTGTCTTCTCCAAAACACCGCGGGAAGTCTCCGATGAGATGAATTTCCTCCCGCATCTACTCGCTAATCGGCTCAGTGCCCTTACCTGATCCGGAACCATAACCTAAACCTCCTTCCTGGAAGCTCTTCACCAAACTGAAATACAATCATGCAAAAGATCAAAACATACCCAAGAATCCTTCTCCTATAAGCTTCTTAGATTCTCCAAAACTCTCCCTGATTCAAGTATGGATCCTGTGCTTTCAGTAGTACGGGCCCAATATTACTTTCCACACCTATCCATACTTTCCTCAAGGATCATCCCGAATCCTCTAAGTCACCTTCTCATCTAATGCACTAAAGCTCACTATACAACACAACAAACCTACTGAAGCAATCCTTAGTCTCTCCTAGGTTCCCGACCTCACTCTGCCATCAGCTGCTGATGAACTCCTCATAATGCCAGTCATCCACCTCATGAATGCCATCATATTCACTTAGTAGCTGACTCCCATCATCTAAGAGCTCCACAAAGCACAAAGCAAGCAACATTCATGCAATAACGCTCCAATCCATAGAATTATCATATAACGTTCAACCCGCACACCATCACTCATGCTAGAAATTCCACCCTTACTCTCGATTGCCTTATGCATGCAAATTATACACAGAACAGGATCAAATAGACTGTCGAATAACAAACTCTACCCTAGAACCACAACCAGACAAGGAACGAGAAATAAGGCCAAATCATTTATTCTAGGCTATAAGATCCTCACCGTATACAATTTTTAAAGCATACACTTAGCAATTATTGATTCCAATAGGTATCCCCATCTAAGCATATCATCCAATTCACCCACCACAACAAGGTATCACATATCAGACCAAACTACCACTAACTATTCAGCACTAGCATGCAAGTCTACCAGCTCATACAATATACATACAAAGACATCTCTACTAGCATTCTATCATGAAAGAACTGAGCAGATCCTTAGCCCTTACTAGCATGTGATTCACAGATTCATAAATCAAATCATAACATATGACATGTATGGGTATTTTGGGAAGACTTACTTGAGCTCGGCTGATTGCATGCACCACACCCTTCTCTTTTCTTAGAAAACTCTTTCCTTGAAAATATTTTTCTTTTGAAAACTTTACCAATCCTCAATTTGAGTTCAGACACACCCGAGAGTATGTCTGAATCCCTTAAAACCAAGGCTCTGATACCAACTTGTAACGACCCAAAATCACGACACAAACATTTTTGTTTTTGAATAAATAAATCGTTAATACATATTGTTTTCATAAAACCAGAGTAACCAATATTTAGCGAACAACAATTAACCAGAGTAATTCACAATATGCAGAAACATGTGGTGTGTGCTCTACAATCATCCCGAGCTCTTCCATTTTGAAAACGGAAGTACCTAAAACATAAACTGAAAACCGTAAGCACAAAGCTTAGTGAGTTTCCCAAAATATCATACCACATATAATCACAGATTATCACACACATACATATAGGTGCCATGGGCTTCCCCCATGGTCTTTACATGGAATGTCATGGGCTTTCCCCTCATGGTCTGACATCCAATTGCCACGGGCTCCCCCAAGGTCTTCCATGCAAGTATCATAGAGACAACTAACATACCACATAACACATAATGGGCCGGCATTGGTGCCTTCGACCCATGGATATAGTGAGAAGACTCACCTCGATTGTAGAAGCTTACTGAAAGAAATCCCTAGTTGTTGTCCTGACAACACCTCCGAACTATCAGATCAAAATAACACCCCATTAACAATTGGATTCCATTCTAAGGCCCACCATCCACATTTGGGGTAAAATGACCATTTTACCCCTGACCTAACATGCATCACAACTGAGGCCCAAATCCAAAAGATCCACAAAGGCCCACTAATGGCCCAATTTTCCAAATTGGGCCCAACCCCATATAGACCTTATCCTAAGCCCATAATTCCCTTAGTTACAATTCTGATTACCACAAGTACCCCTTAGAATAACTTGGTCAAAGACAGGGTCAAAAGTCAAGGTTAACGGTCTGAGTTGACCCAACTCGCCAAGTTGTCCATCGACTCCCGAGTTCTCCTATCAATCTGCAAAGTTGGGGAAAAACCGCGCCAACTCGCCGAGTTTATCCATAAACTCGCGGAGTTCGCCAGAAACTCACATCTTAATACATTAAGCACTTAATCCATAAGGACATGGCCCCAAAACATAGATCTGACTTCCTTGAGTTGGAAAACCACGTAAAGTTGCCAACTTTACGTTCATGCATGTCTAAATGAAGCTCTTAAGCTTAAAATGAACTTAATAATTGACTTAATGCATGCATGACACCAAAATCCTCATAAAGTTTGCACCTTTAAGCTCAAGGGTACCAAAACCAACTCAGGTCTGAAAGAACAACCCCCTTAAATGACTTCACTCCATCATCATTCCCAAAAAGAGGCCAAAACACAACAAAACCCAAATGAGGGGATCAAATCATCTACAAATCAAGGTATGAACTTGATATGTTAAAGTGATTGCAAGAAATGGAAGGATTCTGGATCCAAGACTTCCTTCTCCAAGCTAGAAACTTCAAGATCTTCTAGCTCCTTCACAATGCACAAAATGGACACCAAACTTCCTTCTAAGGCTCAAAAATTTGACAATGGAGGCTAGAACCCGTTTTAGGGTTTTGATAGCAATGGAGGCTGATAAGGAGGCCAGAAAAAGGACTTAAGGCCTTTAAATATGGTGCAAGACCCTAAAAATTAGGATTTCCTTCCTAGCTGCCAAATCGCCGAGTTGAAGCACCTCAACTCACCGAGTTGGTTCACTAACTTTCGCGGCCAACACCCTCTCGACACGACGAGTTGGAGCTTCCAACTCGCCAAGTCCCACAGGAAAATACAACCAATTTGAAGTACAATCTCATACCTGGACCAAGCGTTACAAATAACCCATAAAAGAAAGTGGCATTTGTATTTGAATATCAAAAGATGACCCCATGGAAATACAAAACTAGGTGTGCCAAGATTAGATGTCTCTTCCCTGCAAGGACTCACCTAGTTCCCGGATAGTATAGTATACGTGCAACAATGATCAAGTCTAGTACTCCTACCGAGAGAGTTTCAGTTCCAATTTGAATTGGGTTCATTGTGCGCATTAAACTCTTATGTTAGTCATCTATATGGGATAATGTTAAGAGATTAGTGAAAGAATAATTTTTTTTTTTTTTTTTTTTTTTTTTTTGCAATTAGACGTCTATGTAGCCAAACGTGTAAGCATAGCACTATTAAATGCATTCGAACCAAGAGACAAAAGCTTCATCACTACGAGAGGAGTTTATGCTATAAGGCATCAGGTATTAGGCATCTGATGCAGATTTTGCATTCGATGTTATTCTCTACAACATATAGTGGAAGCGTATTAAACTTAAAGCCACTTTGCATAAAACTCAATTACTACTCTTTTATATCTATATATCTCTCTTCACTTTCTCACTCCCTCTTAATTATCAACAAACATAACCTCTTTTTTATCTTCAATTTCTCTCATGGCTTTTCACTATATTTTCATCTTTTATCTTGTTTTATTACTTCCATTATCAAGTTCTTATGAAGCTTCCATGGCGGATCAAGCTGAGTTCTTAACCCACGTGAAGAATTCTCTGACAGGAGCTTTTTTAAACGATTGGGATGACAACGGTCAAAAACCGGTCTGCAACTACACAGGTGTCAACTGTGATCAACAAGGGTACGTGGTGAAGATTGATATTTCAGGGCAGGGGCTTTTTGGTCATTTCCCAGAAAACATATGCTCTTTCTTACCTCGATTGAGAAGTCTTTATCTTGGGTACAACAAGATTCATGGAGACTTCCCTCACAGCATCACCAACTGTTCGCTTCTAGAACAACTCAACATAACACATACAAATCTCACCGGAACGTTGCCGGATTTATCTCCGATGAAGTCTTTAAAGTTGCTTGATTTGTCGTCCAATTTCTTCATAGGGGCGTTCCCGATGTCGTTTATAAATCTCACCAATCTTGAAGTTGTTAACTTTAACGAAAACGCAGGTTTTGACATGTGGAGGTTGCCGGAGAATATTACGAAGCTGGTGAAGCTCAAGTCGATGATCTTGAGTACTTGTAAGGTGAGTGGTTTAATCCCGAAATCCATCGGAAACATGACGTCACTTGTTGATCTTGAATTGAGCGGGAATTTTTTAGTGGGCCCAGTTCCGAGAGAAATCGGGTTGCTTAAAAACCTGCAACAGCTTGAGCTTTACTACAATCAATTAGTCGGTGGGATACCGGAGGAGCTTGGGAATCTCACAGAGCTCATTGATCTCGACATGTCCGTCAACAGACTCACCGGAAACCTACCGGAATGCATTTGCCGTCTCCCGAAGCTCCAAGTCCTGCAGCTTTACAACAACAGTCTCACCGGAGAGATTCCGGTTGTGTTGGAGAACTCGACAACTCTAACCATGTTGTCGCTTTACGACAACCTTTTAACCGGTGAAGTCCCCCGGCATCTAGGCAGATCATCACCGCTATCGCTCATTGACATGTCGGAAAACCGGTTGACCGGAGAGTTACCACCTGACGTCTGCAACGGAGGTAAGTTGCTTTATCTTCTAGCACTTGGAAACATGTTCTCCGGTGAGTTACCGGAAAGTTACGGTAACTGCGTCTCTCTTATACGTTTTCGGGTGAGCCGTAACCGTCTGGAAGGGAACATACCGGAAGGAATTCTAGGTCTCCCGTCGGTTTCCATTATCGATTTGAGTTACAACTTTTTGAATGGTTCAATCGCGAAAGCAATCGGAAACGCTCGAAACTTATCGGAGTTGTTTCTACAGAACAATCGAATCTCCGGCGTCGTACCTCACGAAATATCTAACGCGATCAATCTCGTGAAGATCGATTTCAGTAACAACCTCTTGTCTGGTCGAATACCTTCAGAAATTGGTAACCTAGAAAAGCTAAATCTGTTGTTATTGCAAGGAAACCAGCTTACATCTTCCATTCCCGATTCACTTTCTTCTCTAAAATCCCTAAATCTTCTGGACCTGTCGAGAAATCTCCTCACAGGTGGCATACCCGAAACCCTAACCGATTTGCTTCCGAATTCCATGAATTTTTCAAACAATCTTCTTTCTGGAGCGATACCCGTCTCATTCATCAAAGGGGGGCAATTAGAAAGCTTCACAGGGAACACAAAACTTTGTGTTCCTGTTCCAGTGTTACCCAAAACAGGAAATCAAAATTTCTCCATATGTTCACAGACTTATAACAAAAAAAGAGTTAACTTTTTTTGGATGATTGGGATTTCGATTGCAATTCTGTTCATCGGAGGTATCATATTTCTAAGGTGTAATCGAGAAAGAGATGTTCTACAACATGAAGACGACACATGGGCATTTTCGTATTTCTCCTACAACATGAAAAGCTTTCATCATGTAAGTTTCAACCAACATGAAATCATCAAATCCATGACTGATAAAAACGTCGTGGGTCATGGAGGATCGGGTATGGTTTACAAAATCGATTTAAGCAATGGTGAAGTTATTGCAGTGAAGCGATTTTGGAGTCAGAAATCGAAAGATAATTCTTCATCAAATGACCAAAAAATAATGGAGAAAGAATTGAAAAGTGAAGTTGAGACTTTAGGAAACATAAGGCACAAGAATATAATTAAGTTGTATTGTTACTTATCAAGTTGTAATTGTAACTTGTTGGTTTATGAATACATGCCAAATGGAAGCCTTTGGGATGCACTTCATCATGGGAAATGTGTTTTGGATTGGCCGACACGTCATCAAATTGCAGTTGGTGTAGCAAAAGGGTTGGCTTATCTTCACCATGATTTGGTGCCACCTATTATACATAGAGATGTTAAATCGACCAATATTCTTCTTGATGGAAATTTTCAGCCAAAAGTTGCCGATTTTGGGTTAGCCAAGGTTCTAAATGGTAGAGGGAAAGATTCCACCACTACTTGCATTGCAGGGACATATGGCTACATAGCCCCGGGTACTATATTTCGTACTGTATTTACCTTCTTACTTTTGTCCAGTGAATTTCTTACTTTTGTCCACTGATTTTATATATGTTTGAGGAAATAATTTATGTATCTTCCATTGTTTTAATGATGTAGAGTATGCGTATTCATCGAAAGCAACAACCAAGTGTGATGTGTACAGTTTTGGGGTGGTATTGATGGAATTGATAACGGGGAAGAAGCCGGTGGAGTCAGAGTTTGGGGAAAACAAGAACATCATATATTGGATTTCAACAAAAGTGGAGACGAAGGAGGGGGCGACTGAGATTCTAGACAAGAATTTGTCAGGGTACTTTAAAGATGATATGATAAAAGTTCTTCGTGTAGCTATCCTGTGTACATGTAGGATAGCTACACTGCGGCCTAGCATGAATGAGGTTGTTCAATTGCTCATTCAGGCAGACCCTTGTAGGGTCGATACTTGCAAACTATCAAACAAGACAAAAGAACCCGAAAAATAAATCTTTCATTACTAATTAAAGTAAACTTTATTTGGGGTTTTGAAAGGAATTAGCATAGCATCTATAGAGTGGAGTATTGTAAATATTTTCAAGTGTTGTATATCAATATATCATGATATATATATATTCCATGAAATAATTTTTTAACTTTATAATATGTTTATCTTTTCTTTTTGGTTATTATGAGTGCCGACTCAAAACAAAAAGTGGAATGCATTTGATATGTTAAGGTGCTTCTTTTTTGTGTCAAGTGGGTTCCTAATTTTCTTGTTTAAGAAAAAAAGTAAACTACAAAAATGGTCCTTGTACTTTTTGATTTTACCTTGATTCGCCAAAAATTATAATATTATTCAATTTTGGTTCTTGTGTCAAGGTTTCATATCCGTTTAGTTCAAGAGGGAACAAGGACCAAAATTGATATTAAACCTTGAAATAAGAACTATAATCAATATAAAACCTTGAAGTAAGTGCCAAAACTAAAAAGATTTCGACTTTGAACTCAACACAGTAAAAATCACAAAGCATGGCTACCATTTGTCATTTTCTCAAAAAAATATTAAAGTTTAGTAGAAAGCTGTTTGTGGAGGGGGCCTCTCTTGTATCTACTAGAAAGAACACAATTCTTGAGTAATCAATGAGCATCAATGTGTCAGTGTCCCAATGTAAGCTATAAAGTACACTTCTTTCTTTAATCGATCACTACCTTTTTCTTATCTCTTCTTTTTGTGCTAGTGTTTGATTATCTTGTTGGTATCAAGTCGAAAGTGAAAATATTTGATGGACAAAAATCACCAAGTAAGATTCACCATAGATGGTGTGCCACAAACTTCCACTTTCAACCAGACAAATTCTTTGTTTTATCTCAAGTGCTTTCACTTACACTCACTCCAATAAGACTATGACATATATATACATATACAAGTACAATGGTAAATACAGTAGAATTATTTAGATAATTTGTGTTGAATAATTCAATTATTTAGTTACTAGATGTTGTATTGATCAAGATTTATCTCATGAAAACCCTAATTTGTATTTTTCTTCTAGTTCATTCTTTAATAGCTAAATGTACATGCTTTAGAATCACACAAATGCAAAGAGTGTATTATGTGATCATAATATACGAACAACCACACACACGAGTGCAAGATTTCCCACTTGAGTGGCATGCTTTAGAAAGAATAAGATTCAATGAGACTTAATGTTTATCTTTTGCATGGTGGAGAGTCCATAGACTAAAGTTAATAGCTTTCATAAATGATGCCTCTTGGACAACATGCTACCTACAGCCTTTAGCCTATAAAAATTTACAAAAGTTCAGTTTCTATATGTATGAATGCATGCACATACATATATGATTTAAAAGGAATTTGATAACGACAATCTTTAAAAGAAGAAATAAGTAGGAATAAATATCTGATTTTGTGAGTCAAGTTGCTAAGTAATGTCGTTATTGGAGGTCTTTATCAGGTCCAAAGTGTAAAGAGGAGAAAAAAAAAAGCATGTTATCTTGTTTCGGTTTTTCGAGAAAGAGAAAGTTAAAAGTATACCATTACTATGATTGCTTTCAGTTTATTAGACAATGAACAATAGCCGGAGATGTAGGAGACAGGATGAACAATCTCGAAATCTTTGAAAACAATCAATGTTCTTTAGATTTTCGGAAGTGAAAATAGTAAATCCAGTATCCAATTGCCCACAAAACATCCAAGTAATCGAGATAATTGCAATCATGCCGGAATAAAAGGATTGAAAGCAGTTTAGATTTTTAAGAAACAGCTGGTGTGCACTATAAAAATAAAATAAAATGGAACCATTAGTTTTATGAATCGAATAATGAAGTCGCAAAAGCACATGTCAACTCCATTGGAAGTTGATTTGATCGTGGAATAGAGTACAAGAGGATCAAATTCACTGAATGTAATACTTTTGGTATAATAAAAAGGCATATATAACTTGATATCTGTAACTGACCTTAAACGAAGATTTCATGAAATCATCGGCACAAACAATGGAATTCCGTCGAGATGTTCACTAGCCCGGATCAGAAATTTAACAATGGGAGATTGAAGAATGGAAAAAACAATTACAATCCGGAGGATTGTTTTACTGAAAAATTTTCATACGGATGATTGGAAATTTGGAATTCAAATTTATTTTTTAATATTATTTTATGTAGTTCGAAATGATCAGTTTTCCACGACATTTATCTAATAAAAAATTGTCATAAACATTTTTAAAATCTTTTTTAGATTGATTAATATTTTTTATTTATCTAAATAAACATAACATATTTCTATAAAAATTACTTAGACATTAAAATTTAAAGAAGTAATAATATTACCATATAGATATTCAAGAAAAATCAAAATGTAAAATTGTTTTACCTAATCATACAATATTTCATGATACACACGTTCGTCTGTCATACACCATACAAGATTCCATTAGAATCATCTACGAACTCATTGGTGATGAGCTAACTCACTCACACTATGAGTTGCTCAAAAACATTGATTATAAATGTTTAATGTTTTTGTATATGAAGAAACTTTTTTTTTTCTCATACCAAACTATGTACTTGATTGGTGGGTGCTCGGTTAGCTAATGTGACATCAGGGGCACACAACTACACCATGCTCTTATACATACATGTAACTGAATTTGATAGACATACCGATGAACCAACCATGACGAGTTCTCTCTCTATAGATCCCTATTTGGATCGATGAGACTAAAAGTGAATCCAAATTTAGATCAATTTTGTCGAAAATGAATACAAATTTACGAGTCAAAAGTGAAACCATGGGTGGAGCATTTCCTTCCCCGTTTCTTTATTTAGTTTATTATGTAACATAAAACCAATTATTTAGAAAACAATCAATAAAACTATTCTCCAACAACACATTTTTATTTTAATGAAAAAACAAACTTAAGTTTATGTTATATAATAGGTTGTAAGTTATAAATCAGGAAAACCACAGTCTGTATGTTTAAAAAATTTATATAAATAAAAAAATTAATAAATGTTAAAAAAATGATATGTGTAAGATAAAAATTTTATATAGATAAAAAATTAATAAATGTAAAAAAATGATATGTATACCATATAAAATTAAACGGAGGATCGGGTAAATAAAATAATAGAATAACTGTTGGGATACATTACAATCTAAGAGATTTTTGGTATTTTTAAAAAATAGACTCCAATAATTTCGAAAATATTATGTTATCTGGGATAGGATTTAGTTTTTTGAAAATTTAAATCAAAGTTGATATGTTACAAAGAAATAAAATAAATAAAAATCAAAAACGGAAGAAAATCATAGAAAAATATCACGTAACAAATATGTTTGCTAGAAAATGAACATATGGCGAATTTTTATTTTGTTTATTAGAAAAGGGAGAGATAGATATATTTTATTGAGTTAATTTATGTTCACATTAAACATATAAAGTATCGAAAAAAAGGTAACTAAATATCTTTTGATTACTTTTTCTAAAAATATATAACTTCCAAAATATGATGTATACATTATTATACGTTGTACATCGTGCACTGTAACTTGTATTGGGAACCACTTAGTGTCTTAGGATTGGAATATATACAACACATCATGCATTAGAACTTATACGTTGCTTACGCATAACACACATCCACATGAGTGTTTCATATTAGGATATGATTTAGTTTTTTAAAATTTTAAATCAAAGTTGATATGTTACCAAAAAAACAGATCTTAGAGAAAGTATAGAAAAATACCACATGTCAAATATGTTTTGCATTGAAAATTGACATGTGAAATTTTTTTGTTTTGTTTATTAGAAGATTAGGTGTGAGACCCATGTATTACATGAGTTTAATTAAAAAAATTAAATATGAAATTTTAACAATTTGAAAAAGTTTGAATTTATAAGAAAAATGAGAAAAATTTTAAATTATTAAAATTAGTAAGGCTTTAATGTATTGAATACATTACATATATAAATCATTTCTAATAAATACTTTACATATATATTACCTTACATATTAAATATGGAATTTTAATTTAATAAAATGAAAAATACAATAAAATGACAAGTGCAAAATAGAAAATTTAAAAATTCTAGAAATAACATGTTGTCCAAATGAAGGAGAAGAGGACATGTGGCAAAAAAACATTCATTTATTAGAGTAGATGTAGAGGTATATATGTTTAAATTTTTAGTTTAATGAAAAAAGTTAAGTATTATTAATGATTTATTTTTAGTTTTACTTTAAAATGTTTTGAAAATAACAAGTATTGCTCGTATTAAAAAAATAATTAATTTTGGTTGAAGTTGTAATAATTGAAATATGGATATTTTCCTAAAATATATAGGTGAAAAGTTGATGTAGAATAAAAGTAAAATTTTGGTATTGGTAATAGTCTAAGTCTCTAAGACATACAATAAAAACAATATATCATTTTATAGACACATATACTGCAAACAAAAACTCAAAAAAAAAAAAATATTTTCGGGTCTTTTTAGTAAAAAATATAAAATATGATAAAATTTCACATATGTAAATATATAAAATAAAAAAGCGATAAAATAATATTGGATCACAATTTAATAACATTTGATATTTGTTTTATTTTGAAAGTTTTGTCTATACATTTAAATAATATATCTTCTATAAAATAGATTCGTTTTTATTTTATATAAAAATAATTAAAGAGATTGACTAACTAAAAATAGTAAATAGTTGTTATTTAAATATAATTAGGATTTAAGATAAAATGTAGTTAAAATGGAGACCAAGACAAAACATATAAAACATAAAGATATTGGTGTTTGCTAAATGAGTAAATGGTTCGAGTTACTATTTAAAGTGCTTTGAGGTCAGGTTAATACGGTACAAAGAAATAAAACGAGAAAAATGAAATTCATTCAATTTCTCTTGTTTGTTTGATATCAAAAGAGGAGAGAAAAGGAAAAAAAATAGAATTCCATTTCCAACATTTTATTTCTCTTTTTTATGGGAAAAAAATTCTCTTTTTATTATAGAGAAACATGTGAAATAGGAAATTTGCTTGTTAAAAAAAAAAAGGAAAGAA